GTGTTCTACTACACTTGGCTAATTTTCCTTCTTTCCTCCCTTCCTCCCTCCCTTCCTAACTTTCTTTCTTTCTAGACTAGGTCTTGCTATGTTGCCCAGGCTGGTCTTGAACTGCTGGGCTCAAACAAGCTCCCGCCTCAGGCTCCCAAAATGCTGGGATTACAGACTTGAACCACCATGCCTAGCCCCCTGGGAACTTTTTTTTTTATTAGGAGTCTCACTCTGCCACCCAGGCTAGAGTACAGTAGCATGCTCATGGCCACCGCAGCCTTGAACTGCTGGGTTCAGGGAATCCTTCCACCTCGGCCTTCCTAGTAGCTGGGACCACAGGCATGCGCCACCACGCCCAACTAATTTTTTTATTTATTGTAGACACGAGCTCTCGCCAAGTTGCCCAGACTGGTCTCGAACCCATGGGCTCAGGTAATCCTCTCACCTCTGCCTCCCAAAGCACTGGGATTACAAGTGTGAGCCACTGAACCCAGCCCCCTGGAAACTTTAAGATGTTTTCTCCATGAAGAGAACTTCTACATGGAGTGACTCTAGGTGCTGAGCCAACATCTCTGTGAGCCTCTTCCTCGCTTCACTGCCACGTGGCAGCCAGTGCGGTAACACATCCCATCATCACAGCATGTTTCTTCCTGGTTTGTTCTTGCCTTCTTTCCCCCGTTTCCTCATCTTTACCATCCTGGGTTTGCCATTCCCAAGTAAAGTGTCAGCTCTTCAGTTCTTGTCTCAAGCTCTACTTTGCAGAAAAGATTTTCCAGCAGAGAACTCTGACAACAAGACTCATTTGACTGAAGTACAGTTATTTTCCCCTTAGTCCCCAGGGCCACCCTCCACTTTTCTCCATCCTGCCCTCTTCCCTGTGAGGCTGCTGAACTGTATCAACAGGGCTCCCACACCCTGTGGCCACCAGTGAGATCCAGCCCATGGGGCCCTGGTAGGAAATTGAAGAAAAAAGTATTTGTCCTCCTAGTTCCCTTCCCATGAGAAGTCACCTTGTGCTGGTTGTATACTTCAAGCGCAAGTCACAGCTGGTGGTCTCTTTTTTGGGTGGTGGGGGTGGTTTGAGTCAGAGTCTCACTGTGCCAGGCTGGAGTGCAGTGGCACGTTCACAGTCATCACAGTCTTGACCTACTCGGCTCAGGTAATCCTTCAGCCTCAGTCTTCCAAGTAGCTGGAACTACAGGCAAGCGTCACCACACCCTGATAATTTTTTGATTTATTGTAGACATGAGGGCTAACCAAGTTGCCCAGGCTGGTCTCGAACCTCTGGGCTCAGGCAATTCTCTTGTCTCCGCCTCCCAAAGTGCTGGGATTACAGGTGTGAGCCACCGTGCCCCATGGTGGTCTCTTCTATCGGACTTTCCGATTTCTGAGAACTGCTTCCTCCTCCCATCCCTGTGGACCTGGAGGACATAACAACTCCACCTTTGGGGCACCTCTCCACCCTGCCCGCTCCTTTGTAGTTAGTCTCTATAAGTAAATACTTCTTGCATTATTCCAGTTTGAGAATGCCATCTGTTTCCTGTTGGGATCAAGGGTGAAAGGAATAATTAAATGATAATACGATTTATCTATGTTGGAATACTGAATAGCCATTACAAATCATGAATGTTTGGTAGCAAAAGAAAGTGATGCATTAACATTTTTTTAAAATTACCGTGCCTTGGGAGGCTGAGGTGAATGGATTGCCTGAACCCGCGGGCTCGAGACCTGCCTGGGCAACTTGGCGAGACCTCATCTCTACAATAAATCAAAAATTAGCCGGGCGTGGTAGCACGCGCCTGTAGTTCCAGCTACTCGGGAGGCTGAGGCGGAAGGATCGCCGGAGCCCAGTGGGTCGAGGCTGCGGTGGCCGGGAGCGGCCTCTGCACTCCAGTCTGGGCGAGGGAGAGAGATTCCAACTCAAAAAAAAAAAAAAATTACTTCAGTGGCAACCGCTTCGGGTCCCCTCCCACTGTGGGAGCTTTTCTGTCCTCTTAATAAATCCTGCTTTCTCACTTAAAAAAAAAATTACTTCAGAGATCAAACAATCAGAGTTCTGGAGGAAAACAGAATTCCATTAAAGGGACTTGCACAAAGGGACTATTTGGGAGAGTGGACAAAGTAAAGGAACTAAATAAGGGATGGTGAAGCACCAGGTATAAGAAAGAGCAAAAGTTACCCCTCCTGCTGAAGGGACCAGAGGAGGAGACAGTCTTACAACCCTGAGCCTGGCAAGAGTGGGTGCCCCAGAGGGGTCCAATCATGGAAGAACGCAGGCCCTGACAGCCTCAGTAGCAGCAGGTTGGGAGTCAGGGAAGAAATGCCCTGACCTTCTTCCCCTCCCACCCATTAATCTTTTCTCCGGTCTCTGGTTAATGCCTCCCACTGGCTGAACCAGTTGGAAACTAGAAGGGTGCGGCCCAGCAGGCTCAGCCTGCTTGGGCTTAGAGTGGGGCTGAGAAGGGAAGAGACTGGGTTTGAGTTGGTGGAAGTGGAGAGAGAGCAATGACCAGCATAATCAGGATATCAGACTCCACCCAGACGTCATCCTAATTGTGTGAAAAGTGATCCACGTAAAGTGATTTACGTATGAGACCACTGAACTAGATATTTAAAGTGGCTGCCTCGTGGTAGCAGAAGAATTATAAATGGGTTTTATTTTCTTATTTTATTATATTGCATTTTATTTGAGTCGGGGTTTCACTCCAGCCCAGGCTGGAACGCAGTGGCATGATCACAGTTCACTGCTGCCTTGACCTCCCGGGCTCAGGCGATTCTTCTGTCTCAGCCTCCTGAGTAGCTCAAACTATAGATGTAAGCCACCACGACTGGCTTATCTTTTTGTATGTGTGTGTGGAGACAAGGTCTGGCTGTGTTGCCCACGCTGGTCTCAGAGTTACTGAGCCCGGTCGATAAGTTATTTTTATTTTTTATAGTGTTTGGTATATTTTCCAAATCAAAAAATGACGATGTATGACTTTAAAATTAATCTGATAAAAATGAATGCTAATTGGAGATGTGTTTATTTTAATTTTTTAATTTTTTACTTATTTGTTTGTTTTTTTGAGTCAGAGTCTCACTCTGTTGCCCAGGCTGGAGGGCAGTGGCATGCTCCTGGCCACCACAGCCTCGACCTGCTGGGCTCAGGGATCCTTTTGCCTCAGTCTTCCAAATAGCTGGAACTGCAGGCATGCACCACCACGCCCAGTCAATTTTTTGATTTATTGTAGAGACGTGGTCTCACCAAGTTGCTGAGACTGATCTCAAACTCATGGGCTCAGGCAGTCCTCTCACCTCGCCCTCCCAAAGTACTGGGATTATAGACGTGAGCCACTGCACCCAAACTTATTTTAATTTTAAGGAAAAGATTTCCTATCTGTAGCCCTCGTGGTAGGAATTTCACTTCCTGAATTTTTCCAGAATCAGGATGCCATCTAGAGTAAGATCAAGGCCAAATGAGAGATGGGTTCCACTTGTTTCTCACAGCACTCGTTTGTTATCACAAACTATTCTGCCCATCAGTGGGAGGGAATAATGATACAATGTGGGACAAATGGTATCCCAGTTCTAATCGTATTGGAAGATCTGGAATCCCATAGATTACTTTGTTATGCAGCCAAACTTATCTGTGATACCCACTTTGTCAAATGAAATGTCATATCCCAGAGTTGGGTACACAAACCTCAGTGTACTGGTATTAACCTTGTATATGGATATAATTTCAAAATCCTTTCAATTTAGTTAGACATGAAACAATCAACCCTTTCAGATCTTATTTGTTTTCAAAATCGCTTTTACAACTGTTTGACTCATTTTTTTCTGTTGCTTCACGTTTTTCACACTTTAACTTGAACTTCGAATAAAGCAGCATGGAGGAGCAGTGACACTGTCAGCAGCCTGCCTTTACCCTGGTGTCTCCACACCCTGCGTTCCTCCTCTATTCTTAGCACCATCCTGGGGCTCATGTCAGCACACTTTCAGTGCAGGGTTAAAGGCAGGCAGCTACTTCCTCTGAAAAAAACACTTAGTATGTACAGAATGAGATAGCAAATCTTTGGAATGTCTCAGACCAGCTGTTGAAGGCAACATTTCTTAATCTCTACCAGCGTGTCAACCTTGAGCCAAAGTGGCAGTTTGGGAGAATATGATAAGCGCCAATCATCAGATGAGCTGTGTAAACGCAGGCACGCAGTGTAAGCTCAGGTGTCGTAACTTCTACCGGCTGCCAGGCTATTTAAAGCTAAGGATTATGCAGACATAGCAGATGCGTTAGATTTTGCTGTCTTCTGAAATCTAAAATGTTAAGGAGCATATAAATAGCACAAATTAAAACTCACTGAATTCAGTAATCAAACTTTAAAAAGTGGTTTTCTAAACTAGATGTTAATTTTTAAGAGGATATATTAACACATGTCCATCCCCCCACACATATCTTATTAACCATTTCATAAGTGTCCATAGAACACATATTATTTTTTTAAAACAACCTCAGATAGGATCCTGTTTAGCTTTAAAAAAGATGAATGAGGTACGTGTTTTAACTTTTAAAAATAAGACATATCTAATAATTCTCACTATTAATATAGTGAATCAGATTTCAAGCTCAATTTCTAAGTACTATACTTTAATTTTCAGATTATATTTACAAAGTTCCACTGTAATTAAAATATTCCCACTTCCATGAAAATCATAAAAAAAAAAACACTGAAATGAAAAGCTTATCAAGTGAAGAGACTCACAACTCTTTTTAACAATATAAAAGATTTTCATAAAACAGACAGGAATTCCTTGAGTATGGCTCTTTTGCCAGTGATTATTACAAATGCAGGCACTTTGGCACTGTTGGAGTAATTAAGAAACAACTCTGAGTCCTCTCTGGTATCAAACTACAGTCTCCTAAATGTTCAATATTTCAGTTGTAAGAATAGTATCAGCTTGAGCTGCACAAAACATATTTAACAATTTTCCTTTCTGAGTAAAAATAATAAAGACAACCTCAACATACCAGGAACTATGTATGTGCTTTTAATCTTCATAAAAATCATAAGTAAATTGTTTCAAACATGCGTAATACAAACATTCCCCAGGTACCAACGACTGAACTTAATCTTCCTCGTGTCAAATGAACAGGAACCGATACGGTTTCACTTAGTTCCAACTGGATCCTTGACTTCCACCACCAAAATTCCATCATGACAGAGGATGGCAGACAGATCTTTGGTCTCCACGCCATCTGGCAGTTTGTACTGTCGGGTGAAGCTTCTTGAGATAAAACCGTGCTCATCCATTCTGGTTCCATGTTGTGCCTTCACCAACAGCCAGCCTTCGAAGGTCTGGATGATGATATCCTCGGGCAGGAACTGGACCACATCCAGCAGGATCTGAAAGCGGGATTTGTCTTCTCGGGGTGGCATCTCTGCCTCTGAGTCCACCAGAGGAGACTGTGTCACCTTGCTTTTTCTCAGGTCCACAATGGTTGGCCCGGGCAGTGCATATAAAGCATGATCCAGCCTGCAGTCTTCCAGACCCCGAGCTTCAAACTCCTCTTGGTAACGCACTGGAGTCTCGATGATGTGCCTGAAGATAATTTTTGCCATAGTGGAGGCAAAACCAGCAATGAACAGCCTCCTGCAGTCTCCCTTCTGTCCGTGGCGAACCCTTGAGTGGCCTACTGACTGGATTACCGGTAGGAGCAGCTATTGGTTTATAGCCCAGGCCAGACGCAACCACTTAATTAGGCCTGAATCATACCACAACACACTCTCTTGTCTTTTCATGCTGACAATGAATGGCTATTTATAGGACATGTTTCTGAGTTGCATTTAGCACACAGCCTGCACAAGCTGCCCAGTCAAGGACTGCTCTTACAGTTTCAGTTATCCTTGGCAAATGTGTCTGATTCGCTTACCTCAAGAGAAAAAGAGGGAATCAGAAACGGTATTTGAAAAATTCCTGGGTGAGTGTTTTCCCTGTATGAACTACAGTAATCTAAGGAAATATGGCTTCTTAGAACAGTCTGGAGATATACGTTTATCTTATAAAATGAGCTAATATTGCATTTACTTTAGTCTCCAGATGCAAAGCTGGGGAGAAAAGAATCTAGCTGTAATTGAGGAATTAAGACACACTCATTCAAATCTCAAACTCTGACAAACTCTCAGTGGTCAGTTCTATGCATGTCCATCTATATGTTTTTCTTAGCCTTTATAGCTTAAGAAACATCTGAACCACATCACCTGAGTTTATTTAGATTTGATGCATCAAAAATGAGATCAGGGAACAAAATTAGAGAATTACCAAACATCAGATGGGGGTTGGAGGGCATGGAATGAGGAATCTTAGTGATGAAAATAGAGCCACAGGGCAAAGAAAAAATGTCAAAGCCTTGAACTATTTGATATTAAGTCCAGAAAACTAAAGATTAATATAGTCATAGCTCTGGTAAAATTTCTCAATCATGACACTCTTCATATTAAACTTCCATTGAAAAAGAATGAGATGGTCAGGTGCAGTGGCTCACGCCCACAATCCCAGCACTTTGGGAGGCTAAGGTGAGAGGATTGCCTGAGCTCATGGGTTCGAGACCAGCCTGGGCAACTTGGCGAGACCTCATCTCCACAATAAATCAAAAAATAGGCAGGCATGGTGGTGTGTGCCTGTAGTTTCAGCTACTTGGAAGGCTGAAGTAGAAGGATCGCCTGAGCGGAGCAGGTTGAGGCTGCGATGTCCAGGAGCATAGCATGCCACTGCACTCCAGCCTGGTTGAAAGAATGAGATTCCAACTCAAAAAAAAAAAAAAAAGAAAGAAAGAAAAGAAAAAGAATGAGGTAGCTCTTCTTCCACAGCTACGGAGGGTCGCCAAGATGTGTCAAGTAATAAAGTCCAGAACAGCATATAATACGCTACTATTTATACTTTTTAAAAACATAGGCATTTGCTTATATAAATAAAATATCTCTGAAAAACCGATATGTAGCTGGGAACAGTGTTTCTTCCTGGGAGGGTAAGAGGGTAATTAGGAGGCAGGGACTGGAGGGAGACTACTTTCCACTATAAATACGTCAGTGTTTTTATTTGTGTCACACAATAAATTTTAAATGACAAAAACTACCTCTCTATGAAGACTAGTATTTTCTAAAGGAATACATTTTAAAGGAATACATTTCCTTTAAAAAGTATACAAGTTTGAATGGGCTGGGCACAGTGGCTAAAGCCTGTAATCCCAGCTCTTTTGGAGACTGAGGTGAGAGAATTGCCTGAGTTCAGGGGTTCAAGACCAGCCTGGGCAACTTGGTGAGACCTCATCTCTACAATAAATAAAAAAATTAGCCAGGCATGGTGGTGCATGCCTGTAGTTCCAGATACTTGGAAAGTTGAGGCGGAAGGATTGCCTGAGACGAGCAGGTCAAGAAGGCTTTGGTGGCCGTGGACATGTCACTGCAATCCAGCCTGGGCAGCAGAGTAAGACTCAAAAAAAAAAAAAATAAGTAGTTTGAATGAAAGAAAAAAGTCTATAAAAAATTAAAAATCAGGAAAAAAAGGAACAAAAATCTCCTTTAGCTCCCTTTATTACTTTTTAAAAAACTTCTGTGGACATTTTGATATATACTTGGAAACATTCCCTAAAAAGATGTTCACACAGCTTTTTTGGCCTGCACTTGACAGGTTGGTGGCCCTTAAGGGAAAAATGAACTCTTTTTAGATAGATTAGTGTCCTCTGGCTCAAAATATTGAGAGACATTTTCACTGGTCCTACTCTGAGTGGTAAGTCAAGAACAGAACTCATTGCTGGTGACAAGAACAGGATGTTAAGAATTTGGCTTTAAGATATTAGAAAGATTTACAGCAAAATTAAGATAAAGGTACATACATTTCCAACACACGCCTTGCCCCCACATGCACAGCCTCCCTCATTATCAGCATCTTCCCCAACCAGAATGGTATATTTGATGAGCCTACATTGACACATGTTATCACCCAAAGTCCATAATGTACGCTAGGGTTCTCTAGGAGTGAAAATACAGAGTAGTTTCACTGGCCTAAAAATCCTCTATGCTGCACCTATTCATCTCTTCCTCTCTCCTAACTACTGCTCGAAAAAAAAGCCTGTTTTAAAAAAATACTAGAAAGAGGCCATTAGAGTGGGACAGAAAAAATGTATCAGATAATCTTAGAGTTTCACACCACCAGGGATCTCTAAAATAGACAAAGAAGATTAGATGAATATGATAAGCTTCCATGTGCTCTGAGAGTGAGTTGCCGAGGTTAAAAATGAGCATCCAGGCTGGGTGTGGTGGCTCATGTCTATAGTCCCAGCACTTTGGGAGACTGAGGTGAGAGGATTGCCTGAGCCCTTGGGTTAGAGACCAAGCTGGGAAACTTGGCGAGGCCTCATCTCTACAATAAATCAAAAAATTTGCTGGGCATGGTGGCACGTGCTTGTAGTTCCAGCTACTTGGAAGGCTGAGGTGGAAGGATCACCTGAGCCCAGCAGGTCGAGGCTGCAGTGACCGGGAGCGTGCCACTGCCCTTCACCTGGTTGACAGTGAGACTCTAACTCAAAAAAAAAAAAAAAAAAAAAAAGCAGTGGGGCCCTGTGGCTCAGCCTGTAATCCCGTGCTTTGGGAGGCTGAGATGAGTGGATTGCCTGAGCCCACGGATTCGAGACCCACCTGGGCAACTTGGTGAGACCTCATCTCTACAATAAATCAAAAAATGAGCTAGGTGTGGTAGCACGTGCCTGTAGTTCCAGCTACTTGGAAGGCTGAGGCGGAAAGATCGCCGGAGCCCAGCAGGTCGAGGCTGCGGTGGCCAGGAGCAGCCACTGCACTCCAGTCTGGGTGACAGAGTGAGACTCCAACTTAAAAAAAAAAAAAAAAGCATCCATGTTTCTGATGCGACATTTGAGATTTCTGCCATTCCCCCCCCCCCAAAACTGCCCTTTGACTTCAATCCTAAGTTTAAAATACCCTACTCATCTTCATTAACTACCTCAATCTTTTGACCTTTTGGAGAATCTTTCAGGCTTCCTTTCTGCTTGCCCTCCATCTCCTGCTCTTTGGTCCATCCTCCATGCAGTAACTAGAGCAGCTATTCTAGAGCATCATATGAATGACATCACCCCTTTGCTCCAAACTTCCAATCAGAAGCTTCTCATTGCACCCAGAATGAACTGCAACACCCTTACCATGGCCGCCATGATCTGGTTCCTGCTGTCCCTCTCTCCTTCTCCCTCGGTCCCTATGCTTCACTACACTCACCTCCTTTCTGTCCCCTTCTTTCTGTCTTCCTCAGGCCCTTTGCACTTGGAGTCCCTTTTGCTTTGAAAATTCCACTCTCAAGGTTGCGTCTTTCTTATTCAGGCTTTGGGTCAAAGGTTACTTCTTTTTTTTGAGTCAGAGACTCACTCTGTTGCCCAGGTTGGGGTGCAGTGGCACACTCATGGCCACCACAGCCTTGACCTGCTGGGCTCAGTCTTCCAAGTAGCTGGTACTACAGGTGTACACTACCACGCCCGGCTTATTTTTTGATTTATCGTAGAGATGAGGTCTCTCCAAGTTGCCCAGGCTGGTTTCAAACCCCTGAGCTCAGGCAATTCTCTTGCCTCAGCCTCCCAAAGTGCTGAGATTACAGGCTTGAGCCACCGCTCCCAGCCTAAATGTTACTTCTCAAGCCGAGTCTTTCATGACTATCTAACAAAAGTCTTCCAGTCACACCATCATGGTACCCTTTGTTTTGCATTCCTTTATGAGATGATGCTTAGGAGTAGTCACAAGAGGAGACATGAAAAAAGCTCAGGAAAACAAAGTGTATCATACTCACAGGTCTTGAAGACGTGAGACCCAGCAGAGAGAAGGCAAAAAACAGAAGTGAAGGGAAGGGTTAGGTCAGGGCCTGTACTGGGGTTTCTGAGGGAGAGACAAAGTCGGGCAGGGTAAGCAGTTTAGGACTGACGGGTTTGAATTATTTCAGCAGGCTCTGTGCCACAGGGTTGGTTCTTGGTTGTCAGATATGATTAAGGTAGAGGAATATTGCCTTTTGGAGTGTATGGGCCAGACAGAGGAGGTCTAGCTCTAGACTGGGTAGTTTGCATATCAAAGGCTGCTCCCAGCACTTTGAAGTCTCTAATAATTGGCTAACCCTGAGAGGGGTAGTCTCTCCCCAGCTAGAAAGGTGTTTAAGATGTCAAAACATCATAATATACAGGAAACTATGTATATAATAAAATATATATACTGGATAATACAAATAATGTATAAAAATTAATTAATTAATATAACACAAAATAACTGATGATAATATATACAGGATAATCATTGCCATTATTAGCATCTAAAATTATCTTTTACATTTTTGGACAAGTTGAAAAAGACAGACAATAGTACTCTGAGGTCAGAAACTACATATGGTACATGACTGTATCCCCAGTACCTATGGCAGCATGGAATATTATAGATGTATGAGATATTTATTGGAGGAAAAAAGATCAAATTGCTACAAGTTTTGTAATTTTGTTTTTTTGGTTTTTTTTTTTTTTTTTTTTTG